TTGACCACCCAGGCTTGACCACAGCCTCCACCTGCTGGGCTCCATCGGTCCTTCCACCTCAGCCTTCTGAGTAGCTGGAACTACAGGCACGGGCCCCCACCCCTGGCAAGTTTTTTTAAAAATTTATTGTAGCGACGAGGTCTTGCCGTGTTGCCCAGGCTCAAGGTCTCAAACCCGTGGGCTCAGGCAGTCCTCTCGCCTCCACCTCCCCAAGTGCTGCAATGACAGGCGTGAGCCACTGTGCCCGGCGGGGCCTTACCTTTCGGTGTTCCCCTTGTCCTTCCCCCCGCCACTTGTGAGCTTAATCTACTCCTGTCTCCTCCTGTTGTGTCTCGCCCACATATGACAGTTGTTATCGCCTGTACTGCCACATCTTCCCTGTTAGACTGTGAGCTTCCTGCCGTGGAGCCCAGACTTTCTCGTGTCAGTGTTCCCCCAGGGCTGGCCAGGGTGGGCACCTGAGTGACTGTCTGATGAAAGTGGATGAGCAGAACACAGGTCTCACAGGTCGGGTTAGCAACAAGAGCTTCTGCCACAGACACCGTTTTTAAGGACTCGAGCAGCGTGGAGGTTTCCGCCTCAGTCCTCTCGCTGGCCTGCAGCAGGAGCGCCATCCTTGGAGGCCACCAGGATTCCCTGTTTGCTTTGGGAATGTGTGCTTGTTGGGTGGTGTTTAGAAAAAGTATCTTTCGAGAGCTAAAGGAACCAGAAATTAGCGAATGCATTAGTATCATGAGCTTGTAACTTGTTGGATAGGGAAACAATAATTAAAAAGTGCTTGCATCTGTTTTGGAATTACCTGCCTATTTGTGGAAGAAAAAAGAACAAAAAACAGACAAAACAACAACAAATGCGCATCACAAATCATCTTAACATAAGAAAGGGGAAGAAAAGAGACGTGCTTTGAGCTTCTAGCTCCTTCACAGCTCATTGTCTCCTGATGGCCTTTGCCAGGCTGGATGCCCAAGGAGATCTAATGACACTCAAAGCCTCATTGCCAGACACCTCATCACTTCCTCCGTCCATCCGTCGCCTTAATGGCCTACGCCACTGGAATAGGTATGGAAATCCAGCCCCCCCCAGAAAGTCTAGTGCTCTCTAAATCATCCCGCCCAAGGATTCATTCGCTTGACCCTCGACACTGAAGAAGCGGTGAACAAAAGGTATCTTTTCTGAATTTCCTTGTCCAGGGGCGCTGAGAACAAGTGCCAGCTTTCAGCTTTTTCCCTTGGAACCGGATGGTTCTCAGCATGAGCCAGGGGTCAACAGCATCGGCATCCCTGGGAACTTGGTAGGAATACAAATTCAGTGGCCTACCTCGAGGAGATCCCTGCGGTGGGCTAGAGTCTCTTCCGTTCTTGCTTTTGGCTCACAGAACTGTTCCCGGGGAGTTGCCTACTAATACCTTGGGACTCCCTGTCTCGTGCTCTCTAGCCCTCTTCTTCCATTCTTCTCCCCACCACACGCACACACACACTTTTATTTTTTAATTTATTTCGTATTTTTAGATAAACTCTTCTTTTCTCCTGAGGAGGTGAGCCCAGGGTTTTTCTACTTCCCTGTCCGGCCTTAACTCTCGGACAGGGTGGGAGCTCGGCATGTGCTTCAGTTTGTCTTTCTAGTCATTCTCAAGGCTTCACTCTGGAGGCAGAGTCTTCCGTGTCTCAGGAGGCCAGGGACAGAGAAAACCTCCCCAACCCAGCTGTCTTGCGGCTGTACTCATTGGATCTTTATATGCATGAGAGTCCTCAGAGGCTGGGCTTGGTGGTTCAGCCTGTAATCCCGGCACCTTGGGAGGCTGAGACGAGAGATTTTCCTGAGTCCAGGGGTTCGAGACCAGCATCTCTACAGAAAATCACAAAAACCAGCTGGCTGGGGTGGAGCATGTCTAGTTCCAGCTACTTGGAAGGCTGAGGCAGAAGGATCGCCGGAGCCAGTCGAGGTTGTGGTGGCTGTGAACGTGCCACTGCACTCCCACCTGGGCAACAAGAGTGAGACTCCAACTCAACAAAATTAGTCTTTAGAAACATCATGATAGAAACTGAGTGACACTGTTGGAGAGTGAGTCCTGATCTCTCGTTTTCCCAGGGGTTCTTTGCTCTTGAACTGTGCGTGCCTAGGCTCGAGGCGCCTCGCATGTCCTTTGTCTTTTCTTCTTGTGGATTAGTGCTTATCTGCTTTGGCTTTTTGTTGATAGATGTCCATCTGTTGCCCCTGGTCTCAAAATCCCAGTCTTTTCTGGTCCCCGGATGGTACTCTCTCTTGTTTGGCTGTGCTATTATGGTGTCTTTCTTTTAGAGACGGGGTCTTACTCTGTCACTCAGGCTGGAGCGCAGTGATGCGATCATCGGTCACTGTCCCATCGATTTCCTGAGCTCAAGGGATCCTCCCACATCAGCCTTCCAAGCAGCTGAGACTACAGGCTCAGGTCGCAGTGACTGGCTTTTTAAAATTTCTTTTCTTCTTTTTTTGTGGAGACGGGGTCTCGCTATGTAGTCCAGGCTGATTGTGAACTCCTGAGCTCAAGCAATAATCCTCCCCCCTCAAGCTCCCAAAGTAGTGGGATCACAAGCGTGAACCCCTGCCCTGGGCTCCCTTCTTACTCCTGTGCATTTATTTGGGATTTGGGGCTGGATAGGTGGTGGCTAAGTCACAGCACTCTGTTATGCTCTTAAAAAATCCTGTTTCACTGAGAAAATAAGAAATAATTTCATCTTTTATGCATCTGTATATAAATGAATCTGAACCTATTCAAACTCTGACATCCATGTTGTATAATTAGGCTCTTAAAAGATTGTCTGATTATGCTTTGGTCTCCTGATACGAGTTTTTGCTATTTGTGCCACCCCATTTCAAGTGACTAGAGTTGACGAAAGATACCAAAATACCAAGAATGCATTTAAGTTGATACCAAGGGGTGCACATTGAATCGGAGTGTGCAAGGAAAGCAGATGAGTGCCTGGAGTGTCGGCGCCTCACAGGGTTAGTGGAAAATAGCGCTGCTGAAACAGACCAAGAAGAGCTTTGTACACGTTTTGTTTTTCTATCTCATGCTGTTGCCTTTTTCTGTTTTTTGAAAGACTTGTAGAGAAGGAGAAGCTGTTAACATGCGGAGGAGACTAAGCAAGGTGTTGGTGACACGGGCTTATGTTGTGAAGAGACCGCTCTGGCACCCTTGGGGAGCATGAGTAGAAATGGAGTGAGGTCGAAGGTGGAGACACAGGCCGGGAGGCCAGTAATGTGCTGGGCAGGGTACCGTGGCTGGAGGCAGCGGTGGTCGGCACAGATCCCGGGAGACATCAGAGGAGGGTTAAGGGACGGAATGTTTAAGGTTGGGCTGCTGATCTGATGTGAAGACAGCGATGGGTTAGAAGTTAGGTGCACACTGATCTAGCCCCAACAGCAGAAACATGGAACCAACCGTGCTGCCCATCTAAGCCAGACTGGATAAAAAAATATGGTACATATACACAAGGGAATGCTACACAGCCGTTAAGAAGGACAAACATATGAACTTCGCAGCAACTTGGATGAATTTAGAGTCTATCATACTCAGTGATCTATCCCAGAAACAAAGAACAGAGTACCATATGTTCTCACTCACAAATGGACCCTGCTCGTTTGCTTTCATACTATAAGAAAGGGATTGGCAGTGGTGGAAACTGCCAGGAGAGGGAGTTGGGGGGGCACTTTATCCATAAGGGTACCTGATCTCAAAGCAGGCAAAGTGGGGACCAGTGGGAGGCCTGTCCCTCTGTTGGCTCAGGCGGGGAGATGTGCCATAACAAGAAGAGCAGCCGTACCAGCGTTTGATCAGATTGTAGCCCATCTGAACTCTTAGGAGCAGAATGAAAAGTTGAGCTTTGGGTCATTCTGCTTCTGCTTTTCAAACCTGACCCTGTGATGTTCTGTTACCATTTTTTCCTGGTATTATTCCACAAATCTTGCATTTAGTGAAGCTGTTTGATTTCTCCCTCTCTCTCATAACAAATGTACTGATAATGTTTAGGGCTAATTGCATGCAATTTAATTTTTGCATTGTGGTAATCATTATTGCTGTTGTTATTTTCATTTTCTCTTCCCCAGGCATCATCAGCTATAGATAGTCAACAAAATTATGCCCTTTGGGGTGATTTTCAATTTTCTCGCTTTGGGAGGCATGTTTTTTGTCAGTCATGGAGGGTTCAGATTTGGATTATTAAATGCTTGCGCCCTAAGTTTCCACATCAGATCGTTCAACAGTTTACATTTCCTTGTCAATGGAAAACTTAGCCCTTCCACATGTCTCTTGGTTGTTGTTTTGTTTTGTTTTGTTTTGAGTCAGGGTCTCCCAGGCTGGAGTGCAGTGGTGCAATCACACCTCATGCAGCCTCACCCTCCAGAGTTCAGGCAATCCTCTGCCTCTGCCTCCTGAGTAGCTGGGACTGTAGACACGTACCACCACACTTGGCTAGTTAAAAAAAATTTTGTAGATCCAAGGCCTTGTGATGTTGCCCAGGCTGGTCTTGAAATTCTGGGCTCAAGCAATTCTCCCCCCTCAGCTTCCCAAAGTACTGGCCTGCTTGGCCGCTTTTGAAGACCTGATCTAGTTTAGTATAGTGTGATCCTGTCCTCCAAACCCGTGTTCCACCTCTCAGTGTGCAGGCCTGTCACGCAGGAGCTAAAGCAGAAGTCACCTGGGCATCCCCGCATGATTTATGGGAGCATCTTGGGGCCACTTCCTGAGCTCCATGCCCCGAGGAGACTGTGTAAAAGAGTTTGGCTGTCCTCAATGCAAAAAAGTATTACACATCCACCTGGTGGCGTGGGACCCTGGAAGTGTGTTTCCTTCAGAGCAGGCAGGTCCTGTTGCCACAGATGCTCTCCGCAGCAAGGTCCCTGGAGGGGTCAGGCTCGCTGATGCAATCTGTTGCTTCTTTAACAGCAGGTATCGTGTGACCTGTGCAGACTGCCTGAGTCCCAGAGTGTGAGTCGATGTCTTCTGTGTTTTCACCCTCCAGAAGTGCATGTTCTGCCGACACCGGATTAAGAAGGTCTCTGGAGCTTGCATCCAGTGTTCCTCCAGCCGCTGCCCGGCTTCCTTCCACGTCACGTGTGCCCATGCTGCCGGCGTGCTGATGGAGCCCGACGACTGGCCTTACGTGGTGAACATCACGTGCTTCCGACATAAGGTCAACCCAGCCGTGGTGAGTCCCGCCCTGCCTCCCTCTGTGCCGGAACTGCGTCCGGATCCCCTCCTGCGCACCCTCGGGCCTGGCATGCCTTCCCCTGTGACGCTACTCGCTGTTGATGTGTCCAGGCTGAGGGTCCCTTGAGGGTCGGCACATGGTTAGTTGCTGGTATTTGTCCAGGAGCCGTCGGGTGTCTGGTGCACACCACATACGATAAGTACTTGCTGAGTTGAATGGGTGAATAAGCTGTTGACTGAACAGGGCTGGTTCTGGTGTGGGGTCTGTGTGTACGGCTGCTGTGTGTGTCGTCCACATCGTGTGCTACGCATGTCCAGGGCGAGAGGGAGGACATTCTGGGAGGGAGGCACTGTGAACCATCCCGCCTCAGAGTGGGCAGGGTGGGCGGTGAGCACTCTAGTCCACCGTACACGGTGACCCTGGGGTTTTCTTTTTTCCCTTCTTGAAGATCCAACGTGTGGTGGACGATAAAGGGAGAGGGAGGTTGGCCAGAACTTGTGGGGCCTCGCTGCCTGGGCTGGGGTAAGGGTGTGGTGGAATGGAGGCCCTGGAAGCAGTGAGGACAATCTCCTAGAACAACTGAAGCGTAGAAGGGATGTCTAGAGTGTTTTCATCGTTGTTGCCATTTCCGTTTCACTCATGGCCGAACCTGTTTCCGGGAAAAAAGTGTTGGCAACCCAGTAATGTGTACACTTAACCGTAATTCCACTTACCTATCTTTGGTGAATGAAATCTTTCCTGTGCTACATGCTCAGGAAAACCATGACCGTGTGTAGATGGTGCTTGCGTTTTGTGCCTGGACTGTTTTCGGCTGCCAAAGAGGAGGGCAGAGCATCTTCGAGATGCTCAGTTCTGCCACTGGCTGCTCTTTGCTGTCCCTGCGAGCCTTGGCCGCTGACTGTTGGCAGCCTGACACTCTGGGCCTGGGTCCCTCGTCGCCTCTTGTGAACGGCCTGCCGCGTCGTCAGTGTCGGCTTGTGGAGCCAAAGACAACTGCATCCCCCACCTCCGTGGGCATCTTGAGGGATATTTGAGCTTTGTGGGTCGGGATTCTGTGCAGACGTGTGTGAATTGGCAGACGGATGCCATGATGTCACTGATTGTCACATCTATTTTCTTTTCTTTTTTTTTTTTTTGAGTTGGAGTCTCACTCGGTTGCCCAGACTGGAGTGCAGTGGCCGCTCCCGGCCACCGCATCCTTGACCTGCTGGGCTCCGGCAATCCTTCCACCTCAGCCTTC